TGTGTGTGTGTGTGTGTGTGTGTGTGTGTCTGTCTGTCTGTCTGTCTGTCTGTCTGTCTGTCTCTGTATATCCAAATTCCCCTTTTTGTAACAACACCAGTCATATTGGATTAGGGCTCACCCTAATGAACTCAACTTGAGTACATCTGCAAATAACTTATTTCAAAATAAGGTCACATCCTGAGGTACTGAGGGTTAGGACTTCAACATGTCTTCTTAAAGGACACAACTCAACCATAACCCCTTACTACAAAATAACACTGGATCCAATTGGTTTTACAGATTTCTTTCACAAAACATTTCAGGAATTGATCATTCCAAGGCTATACAATTCTTGTATAATTACTGAAATGTCTAACAGTTAGACTTTTAGAGGCCAGTCTAGCAGTGAAACCAAAACCAGATGAGGATTGTATAAGAATGGAAAATTAGAGATGAATCCTGCTCAGGAACTGTGGCCACATACAGCAATCTTAGACACTGTTGGTGAAAAAAGCAAGTTGCAGAAGACAACATATAGTAAGCCATTTCTATAAAATTAAAAAACAACTAAAGAATACATTCTTCAGAGATACATACATACAAGGTGTGATAAAAAATACAGTGAATATTTAAATTTAAAAAAATATTATTACAGGGCTGGCCAAGTGGCACGTTGGTTAAGAGCTGGCTTGGGACGCCAGAGGGCCCCAGTTTGGATCCCACATATGAGGGCCAGTGACACTGCCCTCCACAGCTAAAATGCTGGACAACAGCTCAACCTGGAGCTGGGCTGCCCTGAGTCGCCTGGCGATGGCGTAGGCTGCAGCCCCTGCTGCAATAGGTTGCCATGGGCTACCGAGTGTGGCCAGCAGCCAGTGTCAGCGGCCAGCAGCCGCAGTGAGCAGCTGACCAGAAGCCAGGGACCGATCTGCCTCACCCGGGAAGAACGCAATGATGGTGCCAACGTGGGCCAGTGAAGCAACATCCTCCACAACTAGACTGAAGAACAAAAGGACAGCAACTTGTGTGTTCCCCTTCTCCCAATTCCCCAGTGCTGTTCCCATCCCCCAATTCCCCAATAAAAAAACTTTAAAAAATAAAAAAATTTTTAAAATAAATAAATAAACAAATAAATAATATTATTACAGTAAAAGACACATTGCCATTAATCCCTCTCAAAATACTCCCCTCACTTTGAACACACGTATCCCATTATTCTTGCCACTTTCTGAAGCAGTTCTAGAAATCCTCTTTTGTGAGTGTCTTTAGCTGCACTGTTGTGGCTGCCTCAATTTCCTGAATCGATTCAAAATGTGTACCTTCATTGGTCACTTTGACTTTGGGGAAGGACAGAAGTCGCCTGGTGCAAGATTTGATGAATAAAGTGGATGAGGATGCACTGTAATGTGTATTTGACAGAAATTGCCATACCAGAAGCAATGTTTGACACGGAGCCTTTCCACTGTGATCACAAAATATGACAAATGCTTCCGAGTGCTATCCAACGGAAAGGCAGGGTCATCAATATGGGAAGTGGTGTGTCGAACCTTAGTAACAGTGTGTGACAAGTTTCAACTTGTCATTTGGGTGAGAGCTACAGTTGAGAGAAGGTGTGTTTTAAAGCGTGCCTTAAATCATCCTCCATCATGACAACACTCCGTGTCACACATTGTTTCTGGTATATGGCAATTTCTGTCAAATAAAAGCATTACGGTGTGTCCTCATTCACCTTATTCATGGATCTAGCACCGTGTGACTTCTGACTCTTCCCAAAGTCAAAATAATTCAGGACATTGAGGCAGCCATGACAGCGCAACTGAAGATACTCAGGAAAGAGGACTTTCAGAACTGCTTAATAAAGTAGCAAGAATGATGGGATGAGTGTGTTTACAGTGAGGGGGAGTATTTTGAAGGGGATTAATGGCAATGTGTCTTTTACTGTAATAATTTTTTTATTTAAACATTCACCATATTGTTTGATCAGACCATATATATATATCTCAACTATAAAAAAGGATAAAAGAAATAATACAGATCATTTTAAACAGACTGTGTTTTCTGACCTCAGTAAAATTAAATGTAGGTAGAAAAATAAACTAAAACAGGCCAAGTCCAAAGTCAAGAATATTGGTTCCTTCAGGAATGGAGGTAGTCAAGAGAGCAGTGTATGGACGTAAATGCAGCTATTGGTGATGGCCTGGGTCTTAAGGTAAATGGTGAATTCGTTAGTTCTCATTTTAGTTGTCACCCTTCATAACTTGCAGTTGTATGATTTATATTCTCTTCTCTTTCTCTTTAAAATTCTTTTTTGAGTTTTAAAAAATATTGAACAGACACTACCCCACTGCTCTTCTGGAAGTCACTGTGGTCAGGGCTGACGTGACTAGGGAGTTTTTGCTTAGATGGTTGTAAGATTTTTCTTTACTTTTATCATTTAAAATCTTTGCCAGGATGTGCCTAGATATAAACAAGTATGTTCTCAGCAGTTATTCTGGCAATTTGGTTTACAACCATTTTGGCAGGAGCCATACAATCCAGCTAAACAATTTGAAAGTATCAAACTCATATGTTTTTGCTAACGGCTTAAGGAAATGAGAAGAGCTCTTTCCCTTCCTAAAAGGGCCTCAGTGTACATTTTCATTCTCAGAGAGGAAAAAGATAGGTTTCTAGTGATGAAATTCAAATTCACTACCAATAACATAGCTGCCTTTTGCCCTTTCTTCTGGTCTCCACTAAGCCCAACTCCTACTCTGGAAGAAGTCAACGCCTGGGCGCAGTCATTTGACAAATTAATGCTCACTCCAGCAGGGAGGAATGCTTTCCGTGAATTCCTCCGAACAGAATTCAGTGAAGAAAATATGCTTTTCTGGATGGCGTGTGAGGAACTGAAAAAAGAAGCTAATAAAAACATTATTGAAGAGAAAGCAAGGATAATATATGAAGACTACATTTCTATTCTTTCTCCTAAAGAGGTATGTACCTACTGAAAGGCTTTCACCAAGGTGTCCTTTTTTAATATAAGAGAAGTTATGAGTGAAATGATGCAAGTTTCCATCTCTCAGAGTTTTTGTTCTTTTGGATCCAAAATCTAGGAGGTTAGGTTGGTCTCAAAACTAAGTACCTTGTAGCTCTAATTATAAAATCATTATTTCCTACTANCCATCTAACACCCTACAAAATATTTACAACTTTTATTATATTCCCTGAACTGTCTTTCATATCCCGGTGGCAACATTGTAGTTACCTATTTATGCTGTCTAATCCCTTCCCCTTCTCCCTCATCCCCACCCCCTCCCAACTAGCAGCCATCAGTTGTTCCTCTATATCTCTGAGACCACTTCTGTTTACTTTGCTCGTTCATTCAGTTTTTTAGATTCCACATATAAGTGAGTTCATATGGTATTTGTCTTTCTTCAACTGACTTATTTCACTTAATGTTTTCTAGGTCCATTTTGCTAACCTAAATGTCTATTGCTAACCTTTTTAGGCTCTCAGTGCTGGTCCTGTTACTCATTTCCTATAAATGCCCTTGCTCTTTCTTTATATTCAGTTTACATTCTTATTAACTGAAAACATCAAGGTATTTTGCTATTAATTTTATCAACGTGGTCTTCTTAAAATTTATTTTTGTATTCACTTCTTCCCATTCTAAGAGAGAGCTCTTTGTTGCTTCCTTTGTTTTATTCAACAGTGAACCCTAAAAGAAAACCACCTTTATACTATATTTGTCTAAAAACAATTGACTGTATGTAATAGAATGATGATAATATTAAAAACAGATGCAACTTTTAAGGAAAAAACATTATTTTACCTAACCTTCTGAGCCACAACCTTTAGTCCCTTTACAAATATAAATGTAAAAACTGTTCTCAGGGCTGGCTGAGTGGCGCGTTGGTTAAGAGGTGGCTTGGGACGCCAGTTCTGAGCAGCGGAGCCCTGGTTTGGATCTCACATGTGGGCCAGTGACACTGGACCCTCTGTAGCTGGGATGGTGAACAACGGCTCGACCTGGAGCTGGGCTGCCATGAGTCGCTGGCGATGGCATAGGCTGCAGTGAAGCTGCAGTGGGCTGCCATAAGCTACCACAAGTGGCTGGCAGCCAGCATGAGCTGCCAAGAGCCGCCATGAGTGGCCATCTAGTGGCCAGCGACTGATCTGCCTGATCCAGGAAGAGCACAATGATAACGCCAACATAGGCCAGTGAAACAACGTCCTCTACAACTAGATTGAAGAATAACAAAGGACAGCAACTTGTCTGTTCCTCTTCCCCGATTCCCCAACACTGTTCCCTCCCCCAATTCCCCAATAAAATCTTTAAAAAAAAAACCTGTTCTCATAAAAGGGGCCTTACTAGAATTAGTATTTTTATGCCTAAGTGACTTATTGAATGTCCATCTGATTCCCTCATTCTAAAACTTGCTCTAATGGCTTCTTTACTTCATTCTGCCCAGGACTATGATGAAATAATTCTCACTTTCCTATTCAAATTGTTTCATATTTCTAAAACTTAATGTACTAATATAAATGCTAATTTGAGGAAATTGATGTTTCAAGTTTTATATAGTCCTTTACTTTTCCACCTTTTATTCTTTAGCTCTCATCCATCAAATCCCTGGTCCTCATACTGTATTA